CGGCGCTGAGGGCGGCTGCCGTACGGAGGAGAGAGGAGCTTCCTCCGGCTGTGCACCCAGCAGCCGTGGTCGGGGGGGCGCCGCTGGTAGGGCTGGGCCTGGAGCTGCGCCCTGATGTTCGGGAGCGGCGTGTGGAGGAGAAGCGGGGCTGGAGGAGCATCTTCCCTGGGTGAGGCTGAGGGCTGGGGCTGCTCAGCCTGGAGGAGAGAAGGCTCAGGGGGACCTCATCAGTGTCTACCAGTATCTGAAGTGAGGGTGCCAAGAGGACGGAGCCAGGCCCTTAGTGATGCCCAGAGCAGTTGTGGACACTCCACCTTTGGAGATGTTGAGAAGCTGGACACGATCCTGAGTGACCAGCTCCGGGCGAGGTTGGACCAGAGGTCCCAGCAAGCCTTAGCTGTTCTGTGATTCTGTCATGACTTAATGTGTATGTATACATATGTGTGATAACACCAGTAACAAAAAAACCTTGCTCACCTGTTTTTACTGTCTTTTTGTTCTCTTCTGTTGACCCTACTGTAGTGGGTGTGAGTCAGCTTACGAGAAGGACTGATTTGTGAAGTATTAGCTTTTTCTTTCTTTGTAAAATTAAGCTGAATTCTGTTGATTTTCTAAATATATCTGTAATTTCACAGAATAAAAATATTTCTTAAAATGTTGAAGCTTTATAAACATCTGTAAAACATTCATATAACTGTTTTGCAGATTGTGATGGTCCTTTTCAAGCAACTCAGCTGTGGAATAGTATTATTCATGCTCTTCACAGTCACGTGGAAATCAAAAGACGTAGACAACACCTGAAAACATACAAAAACTGTTTCACCGGCTCAAATGCTGTAGATGTGGTACTGAGCCATCTTATGCAGAGCATGTACCTAAGCTGCAATGATATTTCTCGACTGAAGGGAGTCCGTGTGTGCCAAGCGCTGATGGATCACAAGGTGTTTGAGCCAGTTGGAGCAAGGCTTAACTTATTTAAGAATGAGAAAGAAATGGAGTTTGAAGACACAAACACTAGTCTTTATAAATTTGTAAATAGCAACCTTACTCCTCTTCTTCCTCGAAAGAATAAAGACAATGAGAACTTGTCTCCCGAGCAAATCTGCAAACAGAAGACAAAAAGGCATTCTAAGTGAGTTACTCTGAGCTAGTCAGACTTTAAAAAAAATATTTATTTAAGGTGGTTTAACTGTTGATGAAGTCATGTCTGTCTAACCCAGATATTGCAGAATTTTGAAAACTACGTGCCAATTTTGAGACATATCGCACCTAAATAGCAGATGGTACCTGATATTTCTCAGGAATGCTGAACTGCTTTGATCTGTCCTTTGTTATTTATAGTCTAGCACAGTAGCATTATCACTTTGTTTTGCTATCAGTTGTGTTGAAATATGAGAATTAGCATGAATGAGCTATTTGCTGAAACCTGGTAAAAGAAATGGAACTAATAAACAGTATTTGGAATCAATATCCTTGTCTTCTCCCCAAAGCAGATGTGGATGATCGGTTTTCGAGCAGCAGGATAGACCCCTGATACAATGAAGCCTTGAAGTACTGTTTTAATAGTAATTTAGATGGTGACAGGAAGATAAGTATGTCCTCATCATATCTGTTATATATCTAATGTAGATTTTTTCCTCCCTAAGCAGAACGAAGTGTGAAACAACACTTTCAAACCCCTTAGCATTAGAAGCAGCCGACAAAAAGAGGGTAGAGGAGCTGCTTCAGTCAATAAATGTTCACACATCTTTACCTCCAAAGATCATGGTTAATGAACCAACTCATCTGCTTTCAAAAGGAGGTGAGGATGGAATTTTTCTTTCTAATACTTGATTGTTCTTCACTGTATCAACTTGGACTGAGTATCTCATCTCTGTTCAACACTGCCCCTCAGAGTCCTAAGATTAACATGTCAGTAATGACAAAATAGCTAAAATGCTCATGGTAAGTAAACTGAAGGAAACAAAACAGGATTAAGTTTTTACAGGATGGTGCTATTCTATTTATGCAAATACCAGTTCAGAAGGAAATAGATTTTAAGATTACGTGCACCTGTATTGTATTATTCCTTTGCTATTCACTTGTCTTTTCTTGTATGTATTCCTAATCAGAGTAGATTATTACTAATTTTAATATGGTGGGGGAGAGAGATGTTTTCTTTAAAGCCTTAGCATTCCTAGTTTGATCCCTTTTTCCCCAACAAAGAACTTCCACATTGTTTCCATGTTGTTACCTTGTTTTCTTTGAAGATTTAAAACATTCTTGAACGAGTGAATACTAAGGTTAGTGTTTTATGTAAGATCTTATTTCTGAGGGTGCGTGTTTGTTTGTTTATGGTATCAGTAATAGATGATGTCTGGAAACAGCAAACTCTGCTACGACTGCTGCAGTTAATTGATGTTCCGCTTCTAGAAGATATCTTGGTGTCCTCAGTGAAGAGCAAACCAGACTGCTTTGGCAAAGAAGAGGACCTGATTATCTCAAATACTTTCCTGGACAGAGAGGTTACATGCAGCTTAAACTTGCCTGAGTAAGTTACACATCTATAAAATGCATTTGTTAGTAAATGCTTTATTTTACTCTTGGTCAAGATTTGTGTTAAGTGAACAGGATGGATACCATTACACTTGTATCCTTGCAGATAGGGGTGGCATTAATGTACTTTCCTTTGACTTCAGAAGTGGTAAGGGAATTCACAGCAAGGATGTTTAGGATTGGACACTTGCGGATTTTAAGTATACATTAAAACTTTAACCTCAGGTGCTGAAAACGCTCCTAGTTTCTAGACTAGACACTTCTCTCAAGTCTCTATAACAGATATTAGAAAAAGAAAAAAAAGATATTCAGCGGCTTTTTGTTTCTTTGTCAGTTCCTGGTGGTGATGCTGTGAAAATATAGTCAATGAGGTATCTTGTTAGCAACAGAAAAGGAGAAGCTAAGCCATAGCACTGCAGAATGCTTATATCATGAATATATAAAAATGAAAGTTGTTGCGTGTTGTCAGTCCTCTTTTCCCTAAATGTTCTCTTATTTTTGTAGTGTTGCAGTTGATGGCCCAAGTGCTGATCTCTTAGTGTGTCCTTATAATGAAGGTGTCGAGAGGTGTCTCCGTGTGTGTGTGTGTTAGTAATGCTTATTTCTGTGAAATCAGTACAATTTTTATCTCTTTGTGAGACTGAGGTCCATCTGTGTACCTAAAGACTCTTTCTTACAATTGTCATGTGTTCTTGCTTTAGGGACAAGATCTTAGTATTTTTACATATGTTAGGAAACATTTGAAATAATCAAATACCTGTTCTCCATGTAGGAGCTTAAAAACTGTAATCAAATCCTGCTTCTTCCACCCTCTTTTATAGAGCTAGCTGGACTGCTTTCTGAATGTTTAACTTACAAGGATGTTTTCCCAGTTAGAGGCAGTGTTATTGCACTGCTCATGGGATCATAACTAAAAGGCAGTCGTAATTCCATTTCTACTTTACTGTATTTCATTTATGCATCCAAGAGTTAGACAATCCTTGTCAGCTGCAGTCGCTCTTGCAAAAGTTCATGTTATTTAGCTGTCCAGCAGCAAGTTCAAAATCTTTGTTTCTGCTCTTCAGGATAAAAATAAGATTCTGTGGATCTTAAATAATATTTTCATCTTCTCACAAGTTATTGATTCAGTTCAAATTATTTTATATCCAGTGTCAGCCTGCCCCCCAAAGTTCTTAAAATTCTAGATTTCTTCTGTACAAAATGGTTGAGTTAGTGACTTTTTCCTCTGACCTTCCAGCCTCTTTGAACGATGAGTTGTCTACCTGAATTTTAAGTTTTCCTTACATTTTCTCTCCCTAGTTAAGTCATACAAGCAACAAATGCTTAAGAAAACTCATGCCTTCTTAGTAGGTCATATAATAAACAGCTTGCACAGTCTTCTGGGATTTAAACTGTTTTTATTTTTCTCTGTTTTCAAAGTATTTGTCTCTTCTCCAAAGATCTAGTCCCTTGCTTTTTCACTCTGGTTAGGCCTGGTGGGTTTTCCTGGTGTGTTTTGAAGTCGTAGTGGGGTGGTGTTTGGTTTTAAATACCGGGTGAATCAGGCAAATGTCCTGGGGTCCGTGACAGTCTGGCATAATTGCAGCTTCTTTTGATCTGGGTGTACTTCTGGTTTATTGCCTGTCACACAGGAAAACCATGCAAGTTTCTTGTTTTGAGTAGGTCCTTGAACTACTATAGCGAAATAAACTCTGTAAACAGCTTAAATAAGCAAGAAGTTTAATGCACTGCTTCAAATATGTGACTATACCTGCATGGTTGTCTCTATCTGATTTTCTTTAAAGCATTAAATAAGAATAGGCACAGCATTCTAAAGTAAGCACTAAAACTAAGTTTTCCTTCTACAGGCTTGACAAATGGCTCTCTGCTGCAATTGAATGCTTGGAGTGTTTCCCAGACCAATTCATAGTGATGGTTAGTCAGCAGTTACATCAAAGCACTAACAAAGCGAGCAGTCTGAATACGTACAAGAAGATTCTTTTTGACACTATTATAAAGTATTATAGTCAAAAGGAGGACACTCTTTTTGCCACTCAGGATCTCAGTATTCATTCAGGAATTATAGAACTTATAGGTAAGAGCAACCTGGAAAAAACAAATACAAGTGAAAGCTGTATAAAGGATGTAATTTACTAGGCAGTAATTGACTGAATCGTAACACCATTTGCAATGCTACTGCAGATGTGCTTTAATTTATGGGTTGGAAGGGGATGATTGAGGCCGCTAGTCAGAGCCCCTGTTCAAGGCAAAGATAAATTTCAAAGTTTAGTCAGGTTGCTTAGAGCCTGGTCCAGCTGAATTTTTAAAACCTGTAAGGACAGAGATTTACCAACCTCTGTGCGTAACCTGTTTCAATATAAAACTACCTTCTTATGGCAGAAATTTAAATGAAATTTATTTAAAATGCTGAAAGGGGCCGTTGAGACTGGGAGAATCACAGCTGGATTCATACACAAAAAGAAAAACCGTTCCTACATATGCTTACAAGTAAAACAGAAGGGTTTAACTTGAAAGTCTAAGATTAACCCAGCCCCAACTGGATTAAGGCTGTTAACTTCAGTTCTGTAGGGTTTATGGAGTGTTACCAAAACCTTGGGTTTTTAGGGAACTATGACAAGCTTACTGGCATAGGAGCACAGTTGGGCTGTGTAAACATTGGAGCTGAGCAGCAGATACTCTGCCCAAAACCTCATGAAAATACACAGGGCAATATTTTTATCAGTAGTATTTTGCCAAGAAAAAAACAAATCAGCTGATAATAGAAGTCATGAAAAGGAAACTATTGCAAAGGCCAAGTGCAGAGTCCTGCACTTGGGTCACAACAACCCTGGGCATTGTTACAGGCTTGGGGATGAATGGTTGGAAAGCTGCCTGGCGGAGAGGGACCTGGGGGTGTTGGTTGACGGCCGATTGAACATGAGCCAGCAGTGTGCCCAGGTGGCCAAGGCGGCCAACGGCATCTTGGCTTGTATCAGAAACAGCGTGGCCAGCAGGTCCAGGGATGTGATTCTCCCCCGGTACTCAGCACTGGTGCGTTATCACACACTGGAACAGGCTGCCCAGGGAGGTGGTGGAGTCACCATCCCTGGATGTGTTTAAGAGACGGGTGGATGAGGTGCTGAGAGATATGGTTTAGTGGTGGACAGATACGGTTGGACTGGATGATCTCTAAGGTCTTTTCCAACCTAGTGATTCTATGATTCTAAAATTACATAGCCCATACCCAAAAAAGAATGATAACTAGAAATAACTGGCCTGGCTACTAGTAACTTCTGCTAAATGTTCACTTCAAAATAAGATGTTACAGTTCATATATGCACTTTAAATATAAAACTGATATAAACCAATATTATAGAATATTACTAAATTAGAGAATCAAAGCAGCGAAATCTATAGGCAGGGGAAAAACAGTGTCATAATTCTGCTGAATTACTCTAACGCCTTAGTTGCCTGTGGGTCTCTTCCTTATTATCTGCTTGATCTAAACTGTGGCCTGTGAACATCCAAGGCTATTCCGCTTTCTTATTCTTTCGTTAATTTTGTCATCTTTCCAACCTGAGACTATCTCACAATGAGTTTCTAATGCTTTATCTCTTTCTGTTGAAGTGGCAGCCATCATTTTATCATGAGGGATTGGTTCTGCTTTTGAATATATTTTTCTGTGTTGCTGGGGCCTCAGCTGTGGCTTAGTTCACACTAGATCACCATTGGGAGATTGCGCTTAACTGTTTTAAAGCCATTTAGCTCTCAGTCCTATGGAATAGATTATGGTCGTAAGTGCGTAACAGCTTGGATTCTAATAACAATTTTCAAGTAGAATCCAGTTCAGTTAACCTTTCTTTGGTAAACTGCTGTTGTTCTGACTCTAGTCCATGAGAGAGCTCAAACTAGCTATGAACATCTACATATTTAAAACAGTTTAAAAACTAATTAGAGAAGTGTTGCAGCTGCCTAAAGTACGGCTTCAGTGTGTATATGGTTATAACTGCATTTCCTCAGCTGTTAAACAGTTTGATTTAAGATGGTTGATTTCTGTTGTGAAGGCAAACATGTTGCTGTGCTTGTTGCCTGTAAAGTAGACCTAGAGTACTTACGTTACAGATCAATGCAGTGTTCAAACTAGTCCATGTGGTTTATCAAACCTTTTTACATTAGAACTTCACTTTTTGGTTTATCAAACCTTTTTACATTAGATAGAACTTCTCTTTTTTTTTTTTTCCCCCTACAGTGTTTTAAAGTACCTCAGTAAAGCTTTAATCACAGACCAGAGAAACCTTTAATTTTTCTCTAGAAATGGTTTAACTTCCTGTCTTATCTACACTTTTCTACCTGTCTTGATCATGTCGCAATTCTCCTTTTTTTGCTGATTATTTTTTTTGTCTGCTTTTCTTTTGGAAAAGGGTCACTTGTTCTTTTGGTGTGTGTTTTAAACAAATATGGTTTCAAACATCTTGTAGTACACCCCTGAAAGCCCTGGGTTATTTCTTGTAAAGTATAATCTCTGTCCCAGAAATAGGACAGAGGACAGAACATCTTGCGTAGGTCCTTTTCCTGTATCTGCCCTCATCTAACTTTAAGAAAGTTATTTGGGTTTTTTTGATAGTTTCTCACTTTCAAAGTGAAGATAATTAGAATTATCATCTAAAGGGGTTTTTATAGGAGATTATTTGCACCTTATCGCATTTTCTTCATGAATTTAACCTAATGACTTAAAAAGGGGGGGAGGACATGACACAGGCACACCAACCAACCAACTCAACCACCCCTCAAAAAAAAGTAACAACAACAAAACCTACAAACCAAACAAATCCAAGCAAACAAAACATCAAAGCAATGAGGAAGTTCAGCTCATTAATTACTTTGAGATGAATCCTAGAGTATAATACAAAGCAGCGTATGCAGAAACAGTGCAAATGTCACTTCAGTGTTTGCACATTGTACGCAGAACATAGTAATGTCCTGTGTACATTGTCCAAGTACATCTGTTCCCTGGCTAGCTGTGGGGCAAAGGTTTTAAGCTTATATTGATTAAATGCTGTATTGAGTTTTTCAGAAGGTTTCAGAAGTCACCAAGATAACCTACTTTGTTTGGAGGGAAAAACCCCAAACCATGGGATTCATATTGGAATTTAAGCCTGTATTCTTGATTCTGGAAAAAAAAAAAAAAAACACAAACAGTTTCACTGGACACAGTTTTACTCCATTGCAGAAAAAGGAAAAACAGCTCAAGCTCTAGAGGCATCACAACTTTATTTAAAATTATTAGCACCAAATATCAGAGAAGAACTACATAGACTCCTGACATTCCTAGCCATTGCATCCGAATCGGAGGGCTACAGATTACAAAAACAAGTAAGTATCTGTGATGTTTAGTGTGGGAAATGGCCCTTTCATGTAGTAAAGCCAACTTTTTTTTCCCAGAGTTAGAAGTGTTCTGTTTACTGCCTTCCAATGTGATTTGTTTTAAAACAAATATAAAAATGTTCTTCCCACTGATAGTATCCTGTTATACTTGGTGTTTGTAGACACATTGCAAATAAATCTAATGCCAAATCTGGATTCTTTTTAGTTTGATAACAGATTGGTGATTATCAAGACTTGCACAAAGTTCATCTTACAGAACAAGACATTGTCAAAAACACAGGCAGAACTGCTGACTCAGTTTCTGATGGATAATCACTCCGAGCTCTTCAAGGTAGCATTTTTCTTACCTCATTGGATTTGTCAGTTTAAATGTGAAATTTTATTTTTTCATTAGCTTCAGTTAAGTTTGAAATTATCAAGTGTTTACTTTGAGTTTTGTATCTGTTGATATACAACCAAACCCAAATACTTTTTTTTTTTCTTTTTTCCTTTTTTGTTGTTAAGGGTTCTGACAAGAGGGTTAGGGTTTTGATTCATGGTTACAGATGGAGCCAGATCTGACAAATGAAGTGCCCACTGCTTCACAGCAGTGACAGCAGAGTGGATGGTGGCTCTGTCTTTCACAACTGGAGTGGAGAGCTTTTTGTATTATATTAGCTAAAATCAGTTCAAGGCTTATGGTACAGTTTTTGCCATAGTTCAATGGAAAACAACATCTAGAGCATCTTACCTCCTATCTCCTTGACCAGAAATATCAGAAATATATATATGCATATGTACATTAGAGCAATTTTTTTGAGAGATTTTGAATGTGTACCTGCATAAGTGTAAGCATAGATTCTTCTGCAGTTATTTATGTAATTTTAAGTTGGTGATCTGAAAGCTTTACATTCTTAAAATACAGAATTACTGTGTTTGTAATTGTTTTCTTTGTTGGATTGTGTTTTCAGACTCCTTTAACTCTTCTGGAACTAACTAGTAGGAGACTTGAGAGTTTGATGGAAGGACAAGATACAGATATTGATTCAGGTAGATGAAGTGATACATATTTTTATATAAACCTTTCTATACAAATCAATTTATGAGATGATTATAATTTTGCATAGACCATGTCCTTTTCTCTTATCAGGAGTGAGGCATTAAAGCGACTAGTGGCTAATTCCCCAAATAACTTAGTTATCTGCTGTAAGCAAAGTACTGACCTCTGAATATTGGAGAACAAGGGTTTAATTATCTAGTTTGAACACACTACAATTTTTTTTTTTTTCCCCAAATATTTACTTCTGGAGAAAATGCAAAATATGCTTCCAGAAGTGACTTGCTTATAATTTGGTTTGTGAATTTGATGTGATTTTATGCTTAGGAACAGTGTTCTTGAATTTCTGCCACAAGATACCTGAAAATTCTCATAGAGCTCAGTAGTTTGAGCTACTAATAGTTGTCTTCAGCACAGACCTTGATTGTTTAGCCTTTCGAAAAACTCTCTTCCTTTTCTGGCTAAGCACAAATTTTATTAGGAGCTTAAGACTTAGAGTAGGGTAACCTAAAAGTAAGGCAGTGCACACGTACGTGGGATTAGTGTTTTCCTGCTCATTTCTTTTATGAGCTAACATTCCATCTGTCCTTGCTGCCAAAAATATCCTTCACCACTGTGATTAAAAGGGTTGCCTTAAACAGTTGAATTTCTCTCTCGCTCTGTAGCCTTCTTCCTTTTGACTTCTGTATTGCCAGTGCATTATTTGCTTAAACATTGGAGAGAAACCATTAGGGAACTGAATACTCTAAGTTATTATGCTGTTTAATACTGTATTTAATGGAGCAGCTGCCTGAGAAGTAGTTTTAGTACAGAATCTTTCACCATCTGTGGAGTTCTGGAATGTTTCCAAATTGCTTCCTGTTCAGTGTTCTGAGTATCACATATTGTGTAGCCAAAGAATGTAGATATGAGCAACAGCAGAAGGAGCTGCCTGTCTACAGAATTGTTGGAGCCTCTGCTATCTCCATCAGCACTCTGAACAGACAACTGAAGTCCAAACCCCATGCTATATTCTCCCTAAGTTTTGGAGTTTCGATCTGTAAATGCATATAGATTACATCTACCTGTTGAAATAGCCAGCTTGATGTGATTGTCAGCTCTCTGAGTTTCTGCTTTCCTGGGTGCCTTATATTCTGGTGTCGCTTTCCCTTTTCTCATGGATGGGACAGGAGGAAAGTATTTCCTGGGAAAGCACGCTTAGGTGGTGAACTTGTGAAGTGCAGGTGGAGCAGGAGGGAAGGCTCAGGACCCTCACAAGAAAAGGGTTCTGTCTATTGCAGGAAGGTAATCCTCAGGTCTGCTGGAAATGTGAAACACTAAAAACACTGAAGGAACTCTGGGGTTAGTTTTAATCTTGTAAATCACTTCGAACCACTGGACTAAAGGATCCACTCTGAAGTTTAAAGAGTTAATTTCTGACAGAAGTTGCTAAGCTTTCCCTTTTGGAAGAGCTGTCTTTTCTTGACGACAGAATTTCACATTTAATGTTTAACAGACTCATTGTAAAAGAAGGTGACATGAAAACTCTGGTAGCTCAGGTTATTACCACTCTTTGTATGAAGCCTTAAGACGATGGTGTTCGTATACAAGGAATAGAATTTTTTCCCCCTTAAGCAATTGACACTTGTTCAACCAACTTGCTATGAACGTGTGGAGTAGCTGAATGCCAGTCCTTCTTCAGGCCGGAACTCACCTGTCCAGTGGTGGAGCTCGAATCCTTGCTCGGCAGTGCTCTACTGTATAGGTTCACAAACTTTTTATAGCTGAGTAGTGCCCATGTTGTGTATCTCTCGGGCTTTAGTTCCTTGCTCTGCACACACCCTGAACTGCAGCCTGTTACATCACCTTTGCTTCTGGTGGCAAAACCATGCTGAGCTGTCTAGGAACCTAGAAGTTCCTGAATTCTGCTCTTGATTTCAGAGGTGTGGTTCAGAGGCAACTGCTCCTCCAAAGTATTTATTCCCTTGTATCATGTTCTGGGCCTTGCAGCAGATCTGACTGACTCACAGGGAATCACTGGACCTGACAACTGCAAGGTGCCATTCTCGCCGTGTAACATCCTTCATTAAGGTTTCTGTTTGCAAGACCTGTATTGGCTCGTTGCCCTGCAGGGCAGTTGGCAGTACAGTTACCTGGGATACTGCACTGGTAGCACTGCTTTTCGGTTTTACTTTGGCAATTAACCTTGACATGTTCATCCATGCTCAGTGGAGGGCGGGATGTTTCCCGCTGTTTGCAGAGAATTGTAGTCACATCTGGAGTATCAGTATACCTATGTTTCTGATCATATTTTTTAATCAGGCTCTTATGTGATGCATCAAACTTAATCTGAACCTCTGCTTTCTTACAAAGGCTTCACCTTCTGTCAGCGTGTGACAACTAAAGAATATGAAGATCAAAAACAACAAACAAATCAGTATCTTACTGCATTGGTTCAAGAGATGAACAATGACCCCACTGTTTCTTTGAAGCAGAAGAAAAAATTAATTAAAGAATTCCGAAAACACCATTCTCTCATCTATTGCAGTGGTTGTAAAACTACATGTGAATTTTGTACTCTGAATGGTTAGACATCAATGCAGCCTGGTTCTTTTCAAGGGCAATATGCATATGAAAACTGCTCATGATACAAACCACTTTCTTCTTATGTCCTTGCATCTTCAGTTACAGGAAACTACAACTGTTAAAATTACTATGCTGCTAAAAAGCATTAATTCTAATGAATGACTCTTAAGCAAAATGTACTTAATTACTTGGAAGTTAGTAATAATGTCACACTGTTTGTGTTGCTTTGAGTTCAGGGTTTGGCACTTTTCTCCTGTCTCGCAACCCCATGGCTTTCTAGTTGAGCCAGATCTACATTCAGAGCCATGCTTGGGTTGATAAGCAGGAAGGTTTTTTATCTTTTATATCTCTAGCTCATTTTCTAACTGCAATCTAATCTTAAACTGTAGATTGATTCCTGTGAATATTGTAGAAGTGTATAATGTGTGTCAAAAATGTTAGGAGCTGGTCAGTGGGTTTTGAATCTTTGTTAGGCAGGGGAGCTGTGTGTGTTTGCAGTCACTCATTATAGCCTGTTACTCCTTTCCTACTCTGGCAGACTGAGCTGATGATGATGTGGCAGTTATTGAAAAGCAAGTGAAAAAAATTACATTTAAAAATGTAAAGAGAAATAATAATATTGTTTTAGATCTTTTGGTGTGCTTAAGCAATTTATTTTAACATAAGCATACATTAATAGTGTCCCTCTATTTAGCATAAATACTTTGATAGCATTATGGGTTCATAGGGCAAAGCTGGGAAGGCATGTTGGCCTATCTTGGCACACTAATGGTTAACGGTACACTGACAAAGAAATGTTGATTCGAATCACTAAATAAACAGGTGATGTAATATTATAGGGGTTAAATTACTTCTTCTGTCCTCATGGCAGACATTTGATTGTGTATTGGACATAGAAACATACAACTGAGGTTGGAAGGACCTCTGCTCTAGCCCCACCACCCAGCTCAAAGTAGAGTCAACTAGTGCTGGCTACTCAGGGCGTTTTCCTGATGAGTTTATAGAATCTCCAAGGGTGGCAATGCTGTAACCTCTAAGGTCACTCTGCTGCAGAGTTCGACCAGCCTCACAGTATTTAAAACAAACCCCTTATGCTTAGGTAGCCTGTTTTCCATTTCAGTTTGTGCCTTTTGTCTCCTGTCCTTGCACTGGGCACCACTGAGCATCGGGGTCAGTCTTCTTTACTCCCTCACTGAGCTTTCTCTTCTCAAGGCTAAACAATTGCAGCTCTCTCAGCCTCTTCCTTGTATGACAGGTGCTTCATTCCCTTCTCATTTTCATGGCCCCCTTGCTAGACTATCTGCAGAATGTCTGTGATTTTTACTGTGAATGTGCTTCCTTAGGTATCTCCATCCTCAGCTGCTCTGCTGTAGTGGTTTAGCCCCAGTCAGCAATCAAGTGCCACACAGCTGCTCGCTCACTTCCCACTCTCCCAGTGGGACGGGGGAGAAAATTGGAGGAAAAAGATAAGAACTTGTGGGTTGAAATAGAAACAGTTCAATAATTAAACAAAATAATGATGCTAATATTACTAATACCAATAATATGTTATGAAAATAATAATTGTAATATGTGATAAGGAAAACATCACTGGGGTGCAGGGGTGAAAACCCCACATCAAATGATACAACCGCTCGCAGACTGATGTCTAGCCAGTCCCTAAGCAGCAGGAGCCGGAAAGTGAGAGCCTGTGAGCACCCCCATAGAGAGACCCCTTGGCCCTCCCCAGCTCATAGACAGAGCATGATGTCTTATGGCATGAAATACCCCTTTGGTCAGTTTGGGTCAGCTGTCTGGGCTGTGTCCCTTCCCAGCTGCTTGTAGAGAAGAAGTTGGGAACACTGGTGCAGTATCAGAAACTGAAAAAAGGCCTTGACTTGATGTAAACATTGCTTGGCAACAACTAAAAACGTTAGTGTATTATGAGTATTCTTCTCCGCACAAATCCAAAACCCAGCATCATGCTAGCTACTCTGAGGAAAAATTAAATCTATCTCAACCAAAACCAGCACATTGGCCTATGTGTGGTCAAGTGAACAGGATGCCAAAGCTTTCTGAAAACAAGTGCTGTTTTCTCTTCTTTTTCAAACGGAAACGGTTACACTGTCAGATATAACCAACTCTATGTACAGGTAATAGGCTGTGTTAAGGCTATTTGAAATATTTAGGTTAACTAAATGACCTGGCCCTACTTGAAGTCAAGGAATGGAGTTGAAATCTCTGTCCATGCCTCCCTGTTTATGCACTTATTTAACAGTGACTGTCCAGTGTGGAACAATGGCTGGAGGAGGAAAAAAGACCAAGTTTCACCTTTCAGATGTAAAAGCCCAAACTGTGGGACTGTAGGGCCACATGTATTCTTTGTCTACCTCTGTGTGGAGTTTTGTGGTCATTCTCCCAGAAAAGGGAGCATGTATACAAGTAGGTTCTTGAGAATTGTAAACAAGAAAGGATTTCCTGATGAAGTGCTTCTGGTGTTTAATAGTGGGACAAGGGGATTTTAGTTTGTTTTGATGGTTGGTTTCTTTTTTGGTTGGGTGTTTTTTGGTTTGTTTTTTTTTTCCTGTCTCTTCTGTCCCTTTACTGGGTCTCGCACAAAATGCTGAGCCTGGTAACAGGGAGGGGTGATAACGTGGTAATTTGTAGGCTAGGTGCACTGGGAATGGCTTGGGGGAAAACTGTTTTGGTGGTTTGGGTTTTTTTTGTTTTGTTTAAAGAAATTCTTGCACTTTGTGACGATCAGAATTTTCTTGTGCTAATTTAAAGATGATAATAAAGCATTGCATTGAGTGATGAATTGGTCTACCATTTCCTAGTGCTCTCGTAAGGAAGAGGTGGCTCAGCAGGTGTAGGACCAGGTACCAAATGGTAAGGAACTGCTTCAGGGTGCAGCAGGATTTTATAGCTGCCAGGTGCTCTCCTTCAGTTCCTGGGACAAGAAGTCAAGATTTGGTAAGAGTTCTGCAAAGGAAAAGGAGAGCTCTCGAGAGCCCTGTTTTATTCACCTATCCTGACAGGAGGAACTACTAATTTTAATCTTTTGTTGAAAGAAACATGGTATTTCACATCTAAGGAAAGGCGTGCTGAACAGAACAAGTTGGGTGAACCACACATTACTGTTTTTCATTGTTACACTTCTAGCTACATTCCAAAATTCAGGGAAACTTTATTGGACTTTATAAACTTATTTATATCAATATTTGACACAGAATTATGTGGTAGGGAAACTTTGACCTCTCACTCATTTCTGTCTATGATTTCTAACGTAGAGCTATCAGATTAATTGCCAGTATGAATTTCTATTTGAGGTATAACATTTCCAGTGAAGAATTTAGTCCAGAGCTACTTTCCAGTGTGGTCTTACCAAAGAATGAGTGATGCCAGCTTCCAAGTAAGGAGGCTTATTTCTATTCGTAGAGCATTCATGCTTGCTCCTACTAAGGGAAAGGTTCAGTGTTGCTTCCATGGGAACAATGGGCGAATTTCCTTATTCTAAGTGCAAGCTGAAGCATGCTGATAATTCTGAGAAGCAGTTACTTAAAACTAGAGGTTAGACACAGAGGCCTCTACAGGCGACCATCAAAATAACACTGTACTAGACTTACTCTGTTTTTTAGAGTAATACACCTGTACCCAACACTTGTAGGTAGTGTTCTTCTGCACTAATACCCTGGATGCCTCATGTGGGGCTCCTGTAGCTATTAACAGGTGGAGGGTACCTCTTCATTCCTTTCAGTAGGTTAGACAGGAGAAAAGCCACACTGAGCTGGCAGTCCAAAGTATAAAAGGCTGTATTCAAGAAGGATCATCTCAGAAAAGCATTTAATCAGGGCAGCTCATCATCGAGATCTCCCATTCTCTGGAGTGTTGGCTTCCCTTCTGTATTGCCATTATACTGAGACCTGGGTAGCAACAGGAGCAGCTCACTAGAACCTGGAATGTTGATCAGAAAAAGGTGGCTCTGACTCCACATGCTTATCTGAAGTAGAAAAGAAATGGAAGCTGGAGATAAAGATCTTTCTGCATCTTCATGCTGTCAGTGGGCCCAAGGGCTGTTTCCCCTGTTCACAGCTCTGACCACTGCTTCATGATTTACCCCTGGGTCACAGATCATCACAAAGAACAATTGTTAGAAGACAGTAGTGTCTAGTTGTGCTTCAGAGAGCCCCTCTCTGGACCTTGTCAAGGGCCATTGGAGGGGCATAAAATCCAATGACACTTGTGCTTAATCCATGCCACCAACTGCCTAAACCAGTGCTCCTTGTTCCAAGCTAGGACTGGTTTTACAACAGGGTAGACAGGAGAGGGAATACGAGACTTGCACTGAGAACAGCACACTCCTCTGCAAACCAGAGACGGCCAAGTATCACCAGCCCAATGAAAAGGGCAACTCCCCTGTGGCCATGAGCTGCGACACGTCAAGATCAGCGTGAGCACCCCTGTGCGAGCGTCGGTGCTGTCCTGGCGGCCAGGCAAGGCAGGTGGGCACTAGAGGCTTCTGTCTGGCTGCTGCCCTGTACTGCTGCTCTTTCCCCGCCCGCATGCGATGCTGCACAGACTGACGGTGCAGTAACAGCTTCTGCTGCCACCTTTGCTCTGTGAAGAGAAGTATTAGGTGCAGGCTGGGGCGTTTGTGTTTTTCTGGAATGCACAGGCAGGACACAGTTGGGATCTCCCAGAACTCAGCTGCAAGATTGGTTCACTAGGCACCAGCCTGGCAGAGATTTCAGAAAGGTGAGGGGAGAGGCAGGAGGCTTATCTGCTCAGCCATTGTTCCAAACAGAAAACAAACAACGAGCCCCACTAACCACAAACCCCTTTTTAAAAAGGAATCGTTCAACTTCCTCTTTTCTCAAAGCCTAAGAGGTCACATTTCAAAATAACCAAATAAAACTCATGTATTCCTTTTCAGGACATGCAGTCTCAGAGACCTTCTGAGATGTGTTTAACATCCACTCAGTTGCATGCACGAGTCAGAATAATACTCATTTTGGGAAAAAAAAAA